ACCGTCGCGGAGAGTCACGTTATAGCTATGAGAATGGGGGAAACGGGTCGGCGCATTTCCACTAAACTTTTCTGTCATGTAGCGGGCCGCAAAATATCGTCTTGCGGGTCACTAATGGCTCGCGGGCCGCGAGTTTGGGACCCCTATATTAGATGTTTATTTATTAATATTCACAATTATCTCATTTTTATAAAAAGAATGTAAATATTTATACTTTCCCACATCATTTTCGATGTATGCAAAATGTATGCGGGAACGAATTTCAAAATATCTAAATATTTCATTTTCGGTTTCGGCTTCGGTTTCGGCCAAAATTCATTTTTTTACTTTCGGCCTTTTTTCGGTTTCGGCCGAAAGTCATTTTTAAACGTTCGGCCTTTTTTCGGTTTCGGCCGAAAGTTATTTTAAACTTTCGGCCTATTTTCGGCTTCGGCCGAAATCAGAAAATCACTTTCGGTCGGCCTCTACTTAAAACAATATAGTAATATATATAGAAAATGGCTCCATCGTAATTGTAAAATGCTTGGCATTAAATTGTCTTCCCCCCCAACAGATTTTATAAGTTAAAAAAAATTGAAAAAAAAAAAAAAAAAAATCAATTTAAATATCAATAAATAATTGATTATGGCATTGCCATCAGCACTACCTGATAAAAATACTTGCAGGAGTAAAAGATATATGACAAACTCAACATGAACAATCAATAGTACTACCACATATCCCAAGTGTCTTCTTCCACTGCACACGCCTGTGATCTAACCATGACTGAAGCTATACAATAGCAAGGCAATACTGCCTGAAATAAGTCTTTATAAAATATAAATTTGTACATTGATAAAAATAAATATGTTTTGTACATGTCAATAGAACAACATAAGATCATAACAAGAGCTTTCTCATCAAGTCAAACAAATAACAAGTGCCTTTCTCATTAAGTCAAACATATAACAAGTGCTTGCTCATCAAGTCAAACATATAACAAGTGCTTGCTCATCAAGTCAAACATACTGGAGGAGACCATGACTAAAATCAGTAAATATGGACTAACAATTGGCCGACGTCAGCTCACAACTGGGATTTTTTCACCTATATACCTGGGGTCCGATTTGGGATCTGCGTATCGGGAACTCCATGTTGCTGACTTGCACAAGCTGGTCGAGGGACAACCCTCAAACGCTTCAATAAAACAGCTGCTCTGGACCACCCAAAAGAAGTTGGTAAGAGAGTCCACCCACTGATCCAGGTCTGTCCCAGTTTTTTTACTGTTGATGGCATATTCTTGGCTCAGCTTCCCGTCCTCCACAATGTGCAGGTTTGTTTTAAACTCTGAGAAGTCTGTGGACGTGTACAGACCCAGCGGTCCTTGATGTGTGCGATAGAGTTCAGACACTGAGATGGGCTTGTTGTTGTAAAAAGTCAAGGGTGTGACCAGAAACTGGGTCTGGGCGACCAGCTTCAGGTCAATCATGACGCAAGCTTTCCAAACGCCTGGCCTCAGTGGCCTGTTCAGTAGCGGCTTTTGGTTGCCCACGTGGTAGGTGGATGGTATGTGTACGTCATAGGATGCCGCTATGTCATTGGTGGGATCCACCCAGGCTACGGAGACAGTAAACTCGGTCCCGGGACCCCATGTGTGACGGAGGGTGATCTCATCATAGGGCCCCATGAGGTTGCCGTAGTTACGGAACAGTAGTTCCTTCACATCAAAGTCTGTTCCCACCTGCAGAGTTAAACATGTCACATTTCAATGATGTAACAATAACTGTAACATTTAATATTTGCTTTATTCTATATATAATTTATATTTCTACCATTTTATTTCACAAGAATTTCCAACATCAACTTTTTAACGTTTAAAAGTGTGCTCAAGCCAGACCTGTTTACCTCAAACTCTTAACATCGTACAATATCATCACATAGTTTTTCAATACCTTATATTTATATTAAAAAATGAAATATTATATAATTTATACACCTCAAAATCTTAGATTGTACGCCAAAATTGTAAGAGTAAACAGGTCTGTTAAGCCAACAGTTTTTCTTCTGGACACCCATTCCATTTTAAAACCTATAAACATGGGCAGAATGGGAAATTATTTTGTGCGTATCAATCCAAACACAGACAATCATGATTTACCTCTAAAGACAGCAGCCTCGCTGCTTTGCCTTTGTTGTCGATAACACCGTAATGGTATTTGGGTTCAGCATAGGCCTCAACGGTCACCACCCGACTGGTGTCCGTGACCTGGGCAGCAAAGAGCACAAGTAATCCATGTAAGTGATCTCCTTCATTGTAAATGTTCCCTTCTAGTAGCTTGATGGGTTTGAGGTTACAAGTAGATGCAGACTGGTGGCAAGGAGGGAGACAGAAATTTTGTGAAATAAAACAATACATTACAAATTTGATAAAATAATGTACAATAGTTAAATATATAAAGTACAATTGTTAAATATGTCAAGTACAATTGTTAAAAATATAAAGGACAATAGTTAAATATATAAGTACAATTGTTAAATATATGAAGTATAATTGTTTAATATATATATATATATATATAGGAGCAATAGTCTCAGAAGAAGGCTCCAAGCCGGAACTGATGTCCAGGATTGCGCAGGCTACAACACCACTAAAGAGGCTCAAGAAAATATGGAAAATATAGCCCTCAGTACCAAAATCAGGCTGATGCGCTCATTAGTCCTCTCCATTTTGCCTGCGAATCCTGGACATTAACAGCAGATCTTGAAAGGAAAATAAAGGGGATGGAGATGAGATGTTTCAGAAGCATTTTTGGCATCTGCTATAGGGACCATATCTCCAATGATACAGTGAAAGAAAGGGTTCGTCAGGCAATTGGGGAGTACGAAGACCTACTGGTGACTGTGAAAAACGCAAACTACAATGGTACGGCCACATAAGGAAACAAGGGCTTGCCAAAGAAATATTGCAGGGCACCACAAGATGAGGGAGAAGAAGAGGAAGATAAAGAAAAAGATGGGAGGATAACATCAAAGAGTGGACAGAACTAACACTGGGTGCTGCTGTGCGCAGTGCAGAAGACAGAGACGAAAGAAGGAGAATAGTTGACATATCATCTGTGGCGCCCCAACGGTCCAAGGACTAAGGGACTTGATGATGATGATTGTCACATATCTAATATTTAGTTATCAATTTTGTTCCGTAAAAATAATGTATTGTTTTGTTAAATAGAGATAACAGGAAGTGAAGGAATTATGGGATAGACGTAACGGTCATAAATCTTTGGCAGGGATTCATATATTTGACACTGGCCATGTTCATTTTAGTTATTTATAGCATCTTAATGCTCATTTTGTGAAATAGAATAAGTTGTATGAAGGATTATATTTTACTCTGATCTACAGAGATATTGTTTTATTGTGTGTCCATTCATCAGTCAATAGAAGTCATGATGCTAATTCCTCTGGTACTTATTTGGATAAACAAGGTGGACGTATGTAAATGTGGATGCACAGTATAGTATAAGTGATAATTACAACCCTACAAGTAACAACATCATAACACATAAAACTGTGTTTATAATACGTTACAAATGGTGATGATGATGATATATATATATAAAGCACATATCTTGAGACACACACAAAAAAAAAAGTCCAATTGAGATAAGAATCAAAGAATAAAAAGAAACATGGCTTACGACCATTTCTAATTTACCAAAAAACATAATTTTCTACAAACTCTGACCAAACTAAAAATATGGAATACTTTTCAACTTTGAATAGGTCAATTGAACTAAAGATTGCCAAGATTGATAAGATTGCTCTCAGCCTACCTGTGCTAACTGGGCAGAGGCCAGTCGCTCTATTGAAGCATAAATGGTCAGTGCTGCATCCTTCACTTTGGTGGCTTTATCCAAATGGTGATAGACATTTTGCCAATAACTCGACAGGCTTTGAATGCCTAAAAATATCAAAACATTTAAACTATTAAATGCAGTAGTTATTTCAGAATGGCTTAATACAGTGTTTCTCAAACTGGGGACTGTGCAGCATTTTCAGGGAGACCGTGAAGGGGTCACTTAGATACAAATTTTGGGCTATTTGCAATTGTTGCCGGTGGTTGCTATGTCCTGTGGAGGAATCCAATTTAGTTCCCATGAGACTTGGACTATTCACTAAATTCTCAGAACCGCTATTATAGTTAGTGATATGGCACACTTCTTTCTCAGAATCAAGCAGAGTGTGCATCAAATGTTTATGCCCACTTGGTTCCCTGAAACCTTTCGCATATTGTGGAGTGTCACCAATCTGTGGAGCCATTTCAGTTAGTAGCTATCTATCAGATAAAAACTTTATGCCAGCAGCCTGTCGTCTCCCTCCCGTTTTTCTCCTTAGTAAAATTATTTTCTCCTTATTTTCTAAATGATTCTGTTATATTTTGGATGTTCTGTTCTCTTAATTAATTGGCCTATTTAATCTAGTTGAGACTTGTTCACTTAAACAATATTAGTTACTGAATATAATTAAAATTTCAACAATTAGTTTTTTTAAATAGATTATAATGCACTCCAAAAATGTTAATTTGATATGACGTTAATATAAGAAATTTGGTTTTATGTGATAAAGTCTAGTGAGGAAGAGAAATCACTGTGTCTATTGTGTTCTGATGTGTCGGCATCCACTTCTCTAAAGTCCAGCAAGTTTTAGGCAGTGAACAGAGGAGATATCTGATAACATACTGTCGCAGATGGTCTTGAAGATTCAGAATTCGATTTTCAACTACTTTGCAATTCAGCTTGATGAAATGATGGACATCACCAACTGAGCCCAACTTGGCATCTATACACAACATGGATAGAACAAGCAACTGGAGATTGTTTTTTTGTTCTAAACGCTCAGTACCAGAACGACAAAAATAAATATTTGATAAAGTTGACAGATTCTTTGAGTCGCATGGTAACAAATGGGAATAATTCCTTGCTTGAATTCTGTTCTGGTTTAAAAATTTTATTGGAGCAAAAATCCCCAAACATTATTGGCACACTCTGCACTATTCCCTGCCAAGCCTTAATAGCGAAAACCATGCCTGATGAGTGGATAAATGTTCTCATTGAAGTGATTACAGCAGTGAACTTCATTAAAGAGAATCCACTGAACTCTCATGTGTATTCTGGGTTATGAAAAGAAAGTGGTTCCGTATTTAAAACACTTTTTGCACTGTCACATGAGGTGTCTTTCCAAAGGGAAAGGCTTGAAGAGAGTTTTAATACCAAGTGAAGAGATGGAGCCATTTTTGAAAGACACCAAAATTCTCTGTCAGTTTCCTTACATCCTTGCTATTAAACGGTTAATTTATTAAGAGATCTGAGTGCTACAAGGGCAAGAGATCTCAGAGCTACAAGGGGTCCCCCAGGGATCAGTCCTGGGCCCCTGTTTGTTCCTAGCATACATTAATGACCTACCGGAGAAACTGACATCACAGGCAAGACTGTTTGCAGATGACACAGCAGTGTATAGGACGATCGCCAACAGATCTGACCAGGACCAGCTACAACAGGATCTCAATCTGTTAGCTGAGTGGGAGATGAGCTGGGACATGGAATTTCACCCTGCCAAGTGCCAGACACTATCAATCTCTAGAAGTTGTACTCCTCTACACTACCAATACAAACTGCACGGCCATATTCTTGAGCAAGTTTCCTCCGTAAAGTACCTGGGTGTTACCATTCAAAGAGAGGTCCGATGGGATGAACATATTAACAATGTATGTAACCAAGCAAACAAGACCCTAGGGTTCTTAAGGCGAAATCTAAAGATTGGCAACTCCTGTGTGAAAGAAAGAGCATATAAAGCCTTTATCCGTCCGATTTTAGATTATGCATCTTCAGTCTGGGACCCATTTACCCAGAAGAGCATTGACAGGTTGGAGGCGGTCCAGCGACGAGCAGCACGCTTTGTCCTAAACCGCTACAGGAATACCTCAAGTGTTGGCAGCATGCTAGAAACACTAGGCTGGTCACCATTGGAGAAACGACGACGACAATCCAGGCTCTCCATGATGTACAAGATAAATAATGGGCTGGTCCACTGTTCCAGTATTAAACAGAAACTCGTACCTCTCCCCCATAGACAGCGACGAGGCCATGACAGGCAATTCAGGCTCATACCAGCAAGAAGCCAGTATAGGAGCTGCTCATTCCTGCCCAAGACAATCAGGGACTGGAACAATCTTTCAAAAGGAACGGTTGAGGCGACAACACTAGACACATTTGTGTCTATTGCCTCAAGCCTTCAAACCCCCAGTGCATGATTCCCTCACAAAGTGGCACTGGAAATCTGTGAAATTTCCTCATCAACACCAGGAACAGAAACATTGCAAATCCCATCTACATGCATAGGAGCCAAAATGATCAATAAATTGATCGTGGGCCCTTCAGATATAGAAGAAGAAGAAGAAGACAAGAGATCTGAGTGCTATAAGGACAAGAGATCTGAGTGTTACAAAGACAAGAGATCTGAGTGTTACAAGGACAAGAGATCTGAGTGTTGCAAGGACAAGAGATCTGAGTGTTACAAGAGCCAGAGATCTGAGTGCTGCAAGGACAAGCGATCTGAGTGTTACAAGGACAAGAGATCTGAGTGCTACAAGAACAAGAGATCTGAGTGTTACAAGGATAAGAGATCTGAGTGCTACAAGGACAAGAGATCTGAGTGCTACAAGGACAAGAGATCTGAGTGCTACAAGGACAAGAGATCTGAGTGTTACAAAGACAAGAGATCTGAGTGTTACAAGGACAAGAGATCTGAGTGTTACAAAGACAAGAGATCTGAGTGTTACAAGGACAAGAGATCTGAGTGTTACAAAGACAAGAGATCTTAGTGTTACAAGGACAAGAGATCTGAGTGCTACAAGGACAAGACATCTGAGTGTAACAAGGACAAGAGATCTGAGTGTTACAAGGACAACAGATCTGAGTGTAATAAGGACAAGAGATCTTGGTGCTACAAGGACAAGAGATCTGAGTGCTACAAGGACAAGAGTTCTCAGTGTTACAAGGACAAGACATCTCAGTGCTAAAAGGACAAAAGATCCGAGTGCTACAAGGACAACAGATCTGAGTGTAATAAGGACAAGAGATCTTGGTGCTACAAGGACAAGAGATCTGAGTGCTACAAGGACAAGAGTTCTCAGTGTTACAAGGACAAGAGATCTGAGTGTTACAAGGACAAGATATCTCAGTGCTTCAAGGACAAGAGATCTCAGTGATCCATTATTATGAATCATTGACGGCTTTCAAAATGAAGCTAAAACTATGGTATATGAATTTAGAGAAGAGGCACTTTGCCCTATTTCCACAGCTAAGCACACACGTTGATGAAAAAGAGCTTTGCATCACATCGATGACAATATCCTTGTGATTTAACAGCATGTATCAATTCTTAGAGAAGACATTTCTCCTTATTTTCATGATCTATAAGAATTTGAATGACACTATAGTTTTATTAACAAGCCCTTTGTAAATCCCATTAGTTACCTGCCTTTGGAGGACAATTTTAATTTAAGAACAGTTCATTGGTTTTATAAGTGATGGGGGTGCAACACATGTTTTCCATGAAATGTGTTTTAGTGATTTTTGAATTGAAATGGCACAGTCCTTTTTCGATGTTGCAAAGATGGATTTAAGATTGCTGATTCCATTTGCAACCACCTGTTAGCGCGAGTCCATCAAGAAATCTTTAAAAGTTTGAGAGCCACTGGTTGAGAGCCAATGGTTGAGAGCCACTGGTTTAATACATACATACATTAAAAAAAAAGAATATTTCAGAGAAATGGTTGATAAACCAATATGGGGCCTACCAGCAAAAAAAATTATATCTTGTTTTGAAAGTGTTACACAAAAGAACTTCAAATAAAAAATAATAAATAAATAAATTGAACATGAATAAGTTTCTAAACAAATAGACAGTTGATAATTTAAAACTTATTGACATCGGTTTCAAATCTGAGTTAGCTGTGGTCAAACAGCCTTCTAATCTGAGGGTCATCTAATTTTCAATTAATGCACATACTTACATTAAAAGATTAGTTATTTATTTACTTAAATTACGATGTACATTGTGTTTTTATAAAATTCAAGAATATATATATTTTCTTTAAAAACAACATATGTTGGCATTTAAAAGTTGCTGTTGTAAAGTCAATTCATTTCTTTTCAACTATTTTACTGAAAACCTGGCCGGAATAGATTTAAGCTTTAAAATATTTTTTTTTACATTTCCAAATCTCATTATTATTATATTTATTGTGTTGGTGAACTTGTGAACGTTGGGTTGTATGAGGAACTAAAATTAACACTTGTTGTGAGATTCAAAGTGGGGCTTCCGCACCCTTCTGACATAAACAATAAACATTCTCTTTCACCTGGGTAGAGATGGCCATGAAATGTGAGATCCACTGAGTTGATGATTTCCTGGTCAACAATGGCTTCGAATTTCCTGGCAAAAAACATTGGTTTCTTGTCATAGTGCTAGAGGAGAGATGAATTCAAAGTTACCAAGTAATACCATTACATGGAATACATAGATTATAATATTAGTGTTTCACCTAGCTGTTTGTATAACCGAATTTGAATCAAATGGTAAAATTGATCTGGAAAGCTGAAATAATGCATGGGACATGCTGTAACATGCCATTTAGCTTTGACATAAGATAAAATTCTTTTAATGATCCAAACAAATGGAGATGTTTTTTGATTGCATTGTACATTTTAAGCACATAATACAATTTGAACACATTAAATTATTTCACTAGTGAAAAAAACCAGCCATTTTGTGAAATCTCTTCCCATATCAGGGACTTAATAGTTCTCATTAAGATTTGTGACTTCAGGGGGAGCACGCCGGTGCATCAGGAGCTTCAGGGGGTGCACACAGGTGCATCAGGAGAACATTAAGATTTGTGACTTCAGGGGGAGCACACTGGTTCATCAGGAGAACATTAAGATTTGTGACTTCAGGGGGAGCACACTGGTGTATCAGGAGAACATTAAGATTTGTGACTTCAGGGGGAGCACAGTGGTGCATCAGGAGAACATTAAGATTTGTGATTTCAGGGGGAGCACAGTGGTGCATCAGGAGAACATTAAGATTTGTGACTTCAGGGGGAGCACGCTGGTGCATCAGGAGAACATTAAGATTTGTGACTTCAGGGGGAGCACACTGGTGCATCAGGAGAACATTAAGATTTGTGACTTCAGGGGGAGCACACTGGTGCATCAGGAGAACAAATTTGTGACTTCAGGGGGTGCAGAGTGGCGCATCAGGAGAACATTAAGATTTGTGACTTCAGGGGGAGCACGCTGGTGCATCAGGAGAACATTAAGATTTGTGACTTCAGGGGGAGCACACTGGTGCATCAGGAGAACATTAAGATTTGTGATTTCAGGGGGAGCACACTGGTGCATCAGGAGAACATTAAGATTTGTGACTTCAGGGGGAGCACGCTGGTGCATCAGGAGAACATTAAGATTTGTGACTTCAGGGGGAGCACAGTGGTGCATCAGGAGAACATTAAGATTTGTGACTTCAGGGGGAGCACGCTGGTGCATCAGGAGAACAAACAATTTAAACAGCCCCAATAATGATCTGACCTGCGCATTTCAGAAACCCAACACTTTGAGCAATCACGCGGAAGGTAGGTACGAAATGTAAGTAATGAATGCAACACAACAGGATATGCTGCAAATGTAACAACCAGTTATGTCGTAAATGTAACCACGGCACTGACCAGAAGCCTCTCCATGTCTGTGATCTTGATATTGTTGGGTGAACATCCACACCAATCCACGATGTGTTTGTACTGACACTTACAGCCTTGCTTCCTCCTCCAGTTGGTCAGGTGAAGATTGTTGTCGACCGACTGGGTACAGAACATGCTGTTTTGTAGTACCATGTGGAAGAACGACTGCAGGAGAAAAAAAAAGAAGTTCATTTTAAGATGCTCGCTGCTGCGGGATCAAAAGTGTTTTGTTTTGAAATGACAAGATTGTAGATGGTCTTAACAACACTGAACTAAATGGCCAAAACATAATTCTTGAATATCAGATTAAACTGTTATTTTAAAAAAATAATTAAAATTGAAAAAAAAAATTTGAAAGAAAAAAATTGCAAATCAAGCACTTCAAGTATATTTATTTTGTCACATATGTCTTTGAATATGCAATACATAAGAAGATGAAAGCTAATTGTCAAAGAGAACATATGAAATCTGTTACATTTTTTAAGAAAGAGTATGATGGCATAACAGAAGCACTTTAAAAAAAGAAATTTGTTTTGTAAATATCATGGACTTTAAATAGTATACATAAATACAGATGTTGGTTTCTTTCAGAACTTTAGCAAAATAATGAAGTTCATAGACACACCTCACCATTCTTCCAATGTTAGACTTAATCTATCAACTCTTAGTTAAAATGTCTATATTTCCAATGCTAACCTCAACAGGGAGCAGGGAATATTTATAATACTGTTTCAACCCCGTCACCAGTTTGTCTTTTGAGGTGAGGGCGTAACGGGCAAATTCCCTGAACAGTCCGATCCAGTCACTGCCTCCATCAAAGATGACCCCTGCGGGCAGAGTTCGTGGGGACACACGCCATAAGTGATCCTCGCATTCATGGAAAGTCTGGTCCATTCCCTGCTTTTTAATAAATCTAAAGAGATGAAACACAGGTACAGTTATACTTTACCATCCAGGTTCACAAATTAAAAGCAGGATTGTTTCTATATTTTACTTCTTGACAAAACTAAGAGAACTTTATTACAAAAATGATTTTTTATTTCTTTGACAGAATAATATGAAATAGAATTATTAACATAAAAAACAATGAAATTCTGTCTGTTTTTTTCTTCTAAATTTCTTTTTTCCCTTAAAAGAGAGTAAGACTTTTGAGGATTTTCCTTTTTTTGAGTAATAAAATAAATGTTTCAGAACTAAAAAATGTGAAAAAACATTTTTTGGGACACTAAAATCCTTCAAAGAAATTTATCCAGAGGAAATGGGATACATGTTTTAGTATTGGACAGGTTTTTTAATCAAAGAAAAAACCACTTTGTTAAATGCGTCACTTAAATTGAGAATTGATTAGGCATTTGTGCATGTATTTTTAAAACCACCTTTTCTTTTACCTTGGTACATTTTTACCAAACGAGCGTAGAAAGTTGAGACCCTTGTATGCTGTTAGGTATTCCACCAAGTCTGAAATAGGTCTAATAAAAAAAAATAAAGATGATTTAATTTACTTGACATTTTAATAGCTGAATATATTTCAAAATTCAAAGGTTTAATTGTAAAATAAACAGTTTTAATCAAAGCTTACATTTTCTATGTTTAGTCAAAAAAATTGTTGTAACATGAAATAAATAATGTTTAAAAGGAGACAACAAGTAGGCTAATGAGACTAAGTTGAGGCCTGGCATTTCACAGCTATGAAATTGGACAGCCACTGCCATAGCACAGTACACCTGAGAAATAAGTTTGACCTTCATTTTACTGCATGGAACAACATGAACAAGAAATTGGCAACATTGAAAGGAATAATCAGGTGGAAATGAATGATTAACTTTCAGATGAAAGACAATGAGGTTTCAACTCTCTCCATTAAAATCAATGTAACGCTAGCTAGTCTTTCCAGTTTTGTGATCCTGTATTTTTGCTGTCATGGGAAACGCTGGTATAGTCCAAGCCTATTCTACTACCTAAAACTTTTCTGAGAACCACTGTGAATGAAAAGTGTTTAAGAATACAGCAGACCACAAAGAGATGCCTTAACAGGGTAATCACTCCCACTGAGATTTATACAGTAATCTCACTACATCAGACTATTCTGAGAACCACTGTGAATAAAAAATTTTCAAGAGACCACAGCGAGATGCCCCTTACTTGACAGGGTAATCACTCTCACTCAGATTGATGTAGTAGTCCCACTTCCAGTCTGGTTTGTCTTCAAACAGCTCCCTGAGAAAGCTCAAATGGGCCTGCAGCAAACTGGCACCTCCCCATATTGTTGAAAATCTCTGGTTTGTCAGGAACACGTTGGCCAGGCGATGTTGCAAGGGGAGTAATTCTCTGAACAAAAATTCTTGTCGCTGCAATGATAAAAGTAGTGGTAAAAGGCTTACAAGGGGAGGTCAATGTTGAGAATGTCTCCTCCAGTTTGTGGTGGTGGTATTCAGTGTTAAGCATGAGGGAGGAACCCGACTTTTTAAAAGTCACAATGCACTTAAATATTTTATGTTAAAATACATAAAGACGCAATGATAACCATAGCAACAAATAATGTCGACAATTGTTCAAAATTTTCTTGGTCAAGTATTAATCTATTGATAATAGAAAAAAATTAAAGAAAAACATACATAAACTGTAAAATTTGATCAAAAGAATTTTTACCAAATAAACTGAGAGGATTATGTTTAATCAAATGTTTAAGTCCCAATCCTATTTTAATGCTGCATATATATATATAAATGTATCCCATGGTGTTACATTAAGATGGTTGGAGTAAGACTGGTTACTGGTATTATGGACGAGCCTATCCGTTTATATATCAATGAGTAAGATGAAGTGTTTGCTATCTAATCACAGCCAATGGCAGCATATACCTTGTCAACATGGATGTAGTAATAGTGATCTGGGCTGTAGATCAACCTCAGGAGTCTGGTCACCTGACGCATGGCACGGCCGTTGACAGTCAGAACAAACACAATTTTGGCACGTGGGACACTTGGGTCATTAGGCGGGTGGTCCAGTGGGGCATCATGTCTTACGACATCTATACAAAATAGACCGACATCAGCGTCCATAGCTTACAACATCTATACAAAATAGACAGACACCAGCGTCCATAGCTTACAACATCTATACAAAATGGACAGACATCAGTGTCCATTACTTACAATGACAACATATGAAAAAACAGACATTAAAGTCCATGTTGTAAAACATCTGTACAAAACAGACAGACATTAGTAGTGTGGTATGGTCCAAAGAGTGGTGTTTTGAAATTTATAACAATGCTTATATAAAGAAATAAAGGGTCACCCCCCCCCCCTTTTTTTCAAATGTTATATATATATATATATATCTCATTCATGTAAGACTCTGAAAAGTTTTGAACCCCATGCAACTAGTCCACAACCCTACAAATAACTTTTTGAAACATCCTCAATCCTCAAACAGCTTGCACATGTCTTGCATTGTGCAGGACACAGACTGGAAAAAAAAACTGTTCAAAAATAAATCAATCAAATATTTGTAGCCCATAAAGACAGCGAGGGAGGAAGTGTGTGCCTCACCTTGAACACCTGTGCCGTATACTTTGTTGGCCAGGTAAGCACCACACGTCTGTGAGGCATTGCCAGGACACTTGGTGAAGCAGTGGGCCTCATCCAGCTTCTCACTGTGTTTACCATAGGAGCTGCCACACCAGCACTCCTTGCCATACTGCAGGCCTGCGTATTTCTGCCCTGTTGGAACAAGCAGATCAACATCCTTACATCAATCCGTATTCAAGAAAACTGTGCTACTAATGAAAGTTACGGTTTTAGCTCCAAAATTTCATTGAAAATATTTTCTAAACAGTAATTTGGTCTGCAAATGAACAGAGTTAAATCTATTTGTACATCGCTTTCATCTCTACATAGAAAACAGTGATGTTCATTTTAAAACGAACAATTCATATGATTAATTCGTAATTTCCTGAAAGCCCCGAAAAATGAAGCTTTCACCAGTTACATAACTGAGCATACAACTTCTATAGTAAAGGCAATAAGGCTTTGAGGGTGTATAGATGAATGAAACTGTGTGGAGCCTACGAATCCTAATGTAAGGGCAAAAAAGCTTTGAGGGTATAGGACAGACAAAGGTAACTATGCAATAGACATTAAGGCCTTGAGAGGATTGAAACACTAAAGGCAACTAATGCTGTAGGCAATAAGGCTTTGAGGGTATAGGACAGACAAAGGTAACTATGCAATAGACATTAAGGCCTTGAGAGGATTGGAACACTAAAGGCAACTAATGCTGTAGGCAATAAGGCTTTGAGGGTATAGGACAGACAAAGGTAACTATGCAATAGACATTAAGGCCTTGAGAGGATTGGAACACTAAAGGCAACTAATGCTGTAGGCAATAAGGCTTTGAGGGTATAGGACAGACAAAGGTAACTATGCAATAGACATTAAGGCCTTGAGAGGATTGGAACACTAAAGGCAACTAATGCTGTAGGCAATAAGGCTTTGAGGGTATAGGACAGACAAAGGTAACTATGCAATAGACATTAAGGCCTTGAGAGGATTGGAACACTAAAGGCAACTAATGCAGTAGGCAATAAGGCTTTGAGGGTATAGGATAGACGAAGGTAACTATGCAATAGACATTAAGGCCTTGAGAGGATTGGAACACTAAAGGCAACTAATGCTGTAGGCAATAAGGCTTTGAGGGTATAGGACAGACAAAGGTAACTATGCAATAGACATTAAGGCCTTGAGAGGATTGGAACACTAAAGGTAACTAATGCTGTAGGCAATAAGGCTTTGAGGGTATAGGATAGACAAAAGTAACTATGCAATAGACATTAAGGCCTTGAGAGGATTGGAACACTAAAGGTAACTAATGCTGTAGGCAATAAGGCTTGGAGGGTATAGGACAGACAAAGGTAACTATGCAATAGACATTAAGGCCTTGAGAGGATTGGAACACTAAAGGTAACTAATGCTGTAGGCAATAAGGCTTTGAGGGTATAGGATAGACAAAGGTATAGGAACCACGAAGGTAACTATGCTGTAGGCAATAAGGCTTGAGAGTATAGTAACGACAAAGGTAACTATGGTGTAGGCAAGAAGCTGATTATCAAAACTGAATGCCCACTAACTCGTTTGCAACCTATCTGACATTGCCAGATATTATGGATCTGCTTTCCTATCAGTATTTGTCACCTTATCTTACCTTGTTTGATTGTTTTTCCGCCCCCTCCCGCATGACGTAATATATATGGTGCCATGTCACCAACAATGCTGCACTCACCATATCTGTAACAATTGTCTATACATCTCTGCGGTGTGTTGTCCAAGAGTTCGGTCATGTCACCATCCAGATCCCGTGATGTACTGGAGTCCCTGTAGCAGCCGTAGTAATGGCCATAATCTTTGCCTAAGTCAAATAAAACACCCCAGAAATGAATGTGAATGAAAGACGTATCGTATATTTGAATGATTGTAAACCATCTTAATACCGTGTATCCGAGAACACAGGAGAAATATTTCGCGGCCCGCTAAGGTTGAAATATAATAAACATTTATAAAGTAAGTCTAACGTGATTTAAAAAAAATAATAATCTAAATACATTTACCAGAAATAGAAAAGTTTAACCTCAACCCCCCATAAACATATAAAACATAAAAAACTGTAATTATGGAACGTATTCAAGTTTGAATAAAAGGAAATTTGACTTTTTTGTTTTTGTTTCAAAAGGCCGTAGATTTAATAATAATAATAATAAAGTTCATTTCAAAAACACGCTTCATCCCCAAAGGCTCGAAGCGCGGTACAAAGTCAACAAAAAACAAATTTATAATTTACCACATTTAAAACAAACTCAACACTACAAAAACTATTTACAAGCATACAATGTCAAAGTCTTTCAACCCATTTCAACCGTGAGCAACACAGCTAATATGCATTAAATGGAAAATATAGTAGACAATCATACCAGAAGGTGCTTGCGAAATAAATGTGTCTTTAAATCGGATTTCTGCGGGTCGGCTTTGGTCCGAGTACCCGCAGCTGAAAAGCACTGGTACATGAGGGTTTCTTATTTGCACATTTTTGGCTGGTCCCGGGAAAACGGGCATAAAGTTTTCCTCATCCCGGGCACGGCCCACTGGATCCAGAAGGTGTTTTCCCGGGTCACTAATTCTTGTTGCTAGTGGCTATTTTGGGAACACACCGGACAGACGTTCATTTTTTTCATTATCAAAAGAAAAAAAAACGTTCAAAACCGACCCTATCTGCAGAGTGAAATCATGTTTATTTTTTTTTTTACTTCTAAAGCTCATATAAGGGAAAACACGAACGTGCATCTCCCGATCCTGGCATTTCCTAATGGCACCAAATGAGTTTCTTCTATCCTACACAATCTCCCGATCCTGGCATTTCCTATGGCACCAAATGAGTTTCTTCTATCCTACACAATCTCCCGATCCTGGCATTTCTTATGGCACCAAATGAGTTTCTTCTATCCTACACAATCTCCCGATCCTGGCATTTCCTATGGCACCAAATGAGTTTCTTCTATCCTACACAATCTCCCGATCCTGGCATTTCCTATGGCACCAAATGAGTTTCTTCTATCCTACACAATCTCCCGATCCTGGCATTTCTTATGGCACCAAATGAGTTTCTTCTATCCTACACAATCTCCCGATCCTGGCATTTCCTATGGCACCAAATGAGTTTCTTCTATCCTACACAATCTCCCGATCCTGGCATTTCCTATGGCACCAAATGAGTTTCTTCTATCCTACACAATCTCCCGATCCTGGCATTTCTTATGGCACCAAATGAGTTTCTTCTATCCTACACAATCTCCCGATCCTGGCATTTCCTATGGCACCAAATGAGTTTCTTCTATCCTACACAATCTCCCGATCCTGGCATTTCCTATGGTACCAAATGAGTTTCTTCTATCCTACACACTCTCAGAAACACAGCAATAAATTAAAAAAAATAAATACAAATTTTACAAACCCTTCATACTTACTGACATCTCACCACTTATGACACAATACATCCAATTACTATAATAAAGATGTTTTACTAAGTTGATTTTAGGGAAAAGGGGGGGGGAACGCATTACATAATCATAATATAAAGTATTATAAAGGCAGTTTGACGCATGACGTCTTGGGATAATCCAGATACTAGAGAAAAGGTTTTCAGCCCATGGGAGGTGACCTCAAATGAGTTAACAAAGGGATTCATGCGGGTTCGACGACTAGAACAATAGACTAAGAGAATTAGAGATGTTTAAAGTTTTCTTTCTAAATCCTATATATTAACTTCGATTGTGTTCCCGGGTGGGTGGTTGGAAGGCAAAATCTTCTGAAAGATAATTGACCAACTTCCCGTCAACCTATCGAGATGAAACTTAGCACATAAACTCATCGCCCATGACGACATAAACTATACGATTTTCAGCCCCTCCCCCGAAACTCTGTTTTTCAAGTCTTTCAGGGGAAGATAAAATTACATTTCTTGATAACTGCCCTAAATGAGTTTGTTTTAAAAAAAAAAATATACCACAAGTTCGTTAGGTGTGAAATATTTTCTTTTTGTGAAATTAATCTGCGGTGTAAAAGCGAGTGGTTCATTTTTTTGCTGGCATCCGTCCATCGCGATGGTGTGGAAATTTGCCGCAATTTTTCTTCTATACGCTGGTTCCCAACAGCAAATCGCCTCTCTCCCCGAGTCGTCGGAATGTTTCATTGTACCAATGTTTTCCGCCTACGGGACTCCATCTCCGGGATTGAATTCAGAGTTTTCCTTCTCTTATAGTTGCCATCCAAGGTTAACGAGTCCCATCCACCCGGGGGTGCTGGTGATGCTGACTTTGGTGGGGATTGAACTCCCGACCACCAACTTGAGATTTGCTCAGTTTAGACCACTCGGCCACGTTACTTGTATGCATGTTATTTGTCCAATGATCAGTCCC